CTGCTTTTTTTTTGCTCTCCATTTGCTTGGTAAATCTTCCTCCATCCCTTTATTTTGAGCCTTTGTGTATCCTTACATGTGAGATGGGTTTCCTGAATACAGCACACCAATGGGTTTTAACTTTTTAACCAATTTGCCAGTGTGTGTCTTTTGATTGGGGCATTTAGTCCATTTATATTTAAGGTTAATATTGTTATGTGTGAATTTGATCCTGCCATTTTGATGCTAGCTGGATGTTCTGCCTGTTAGTTGACACATTTTCTTCATTGTGTCAATGGTCTTTACCATTTGGTACGTTTTTGGGGTGGCTGGTACTGGTTGTTCCTTTCCTTGTTTAGTGCTTCTTTCAGGAGCTCTTGTAAGGTAGGCCCGGTGGTGACAAAATCTCTCAGTAATTGCTTGTCCATAAAGGATTTTCTTTCTCCTTCCCTTATGAAGCTTAGTTTGGCTGGATATGAAATTCTAGGTTGAAAGTTCTTTCCTTTAAGGATGTTGAATATTGGCCCCAACTCTCTTCTGGCTTGCAGGGTTTCTGCGGAGAGATCTGCTGTGAGTCTGATGGGCTTCCCTTTGTGGGTAACCCAACCTTTTTCTCTTGCTGCCCTTAGCATTGTTTCCTTCGTTTCAACCCTGGTGAATCTGATGATTATGTGCCTTGGGGTTGCTATTCTTAAGGAATATCTTTGTGGTATTCTCTGTATTTCCTGGACTTCAATATTGGCCTGCCTTGCTAGGTTGGGGAAGTTCTCCTGGATAATATCCTGAAGAGTGTTTTCCAGCTTGGATTCATTCTCTCTGTCACATTCAGATACACCTATCAAACATATATTAGGTCTTTTCACATAATCCCATATTTCTTGGAGGCTTTGTTCATTTCTTTTCACTCTTTTTTCTCCACTCTTGCCTTCTCATTTTATTTCATTGAGTTGATCTTCAGTCTCTGATATCCTTTCTTCTGCTTGGTCGATTTAGCTATTGAAACTTGTGTATGCTTTGTGAAGTTCTCATGCTGTGTTTTTTAGCTCCATCAAGTCGTTTATATTCTTCTCTAAGCTGTTTATTCTAGTTAGCATCTAATCTAATCTTTTTTCTAGGTTCTTAGTTTCTTTGCATTGGGTTAGCACATGTTCTTTTAACTCTGAGAAATTTGTTATTACCCACCTTCTGAAGCCTGTTTCTGTCAGTTCATCAGATTCATTCTCCATCCATCTTTGATCCCTAGCTGGTGAGGAGTTGCGATCCCTTGGAGGAGGAGAGGCATTCTGCTTTTTGGTGTTTTCATCCTTTTTGTGCTGCTTTCTTCTTATCTTAGTGGCTTTATCTACCTATGGTCTTTGTAGTTGGTGACTTTCGGATGGGGTCTCTAAGTGGATATCCTTTTTGTTGATGTTGAAGCTATTTCTTTCTGCTTCTTAGTTTTCCTTCTAACAGTCAGGTCCCTCTGCCGCAGGACCACTGGAGATCTACTCCAGACCTTGGCTTGCCTGGGGATCACCCGTGGAGGCTGCAGAACAGCAAGGGTTGCTGCTGGTTTCTTCCTCTGCTGTCCTCATCCCAGAAGGGTATTCACCAGATGGTGGCCTGAGCTCTCCTTTATGAGGTGTCTCTTTGGGTATATGGGGATTGGGGAGTTGCTTGAGGAGACAGTCTGTCTGTTATAGGAGCTCAAGTGCTGTGCTGGGAGCTCTGTTGTTCCATGCAGAACTGCTGGGCAGGTACCTTTAAGTCTGCCACAACTGAACTCATAACCGCCTATTTTCCCAGGTGCTCTGTCCTAGCAAGGTCGGCTTTATTTATAAGTTTCTGTCGTCCTGCTTCCTTTTTTCATAGATGCCCTGGCCTGCACAGAGTGGTCTAGTCACAGTCTGACAGCAGAGGCATTGCTGAGCTGCTGCAGGCTCTGCCCAGCTGCTGTGTGAACTGCCTCAGTAGCGGGGGACACCCTTCCCTCCACTGAGGTGGACCATCCTGGGTCCAGCTGCACTTGCTGCAAAACTCTCAATCCAGAGCATTTCAGATTGTTTGTTTTGTGAGGGTGATACCTGCCAAGCCAGATTGCCTAGCCCACTCCCTTTCAGTTGAATGGGTGGCTCTGTCTCCCAGGCATTCCAGGTGCCAGTTGAAACAGCTGTCCAGACTTGTGTGAGTTTCTGTGTGCAGACCCGGCACTGGCTGAAACCGCTGCACTCAAAACTCGTGGTGCTTTTTGGCCTGGGAATCTCCTGGTCTGTGGACAGTGATAACTTGTTTGGAAATGTGGTGGGCACTCACCCTCTGCACTGTTCTTGCTGGGAACTGCACTCTGGAGCTCTTCCTATTTGACCATTTTGGATCCTCTCTGATACTTGCATATTCTACCTATACATTCTGACTGCTTATCTTGTCTTTGCTTTGAGTCTCACTGAACTCCCAGCAGAATACTGTGCATTGCTAATGCTGTATGCAAATGAAGTGGGAAGGAAAAGTGTTGGACACACATATTGTGTGTATCTCTTCTGCTCAAAAATGTACCTCATTGTCCCATTTCACTTGCAAAATAAAAAATCAAAGATAAAATTATAAAGAATATTGGTATGGCAATAGCAGAGCTCTAAACCAAGCACCAGGCTTTCCTGAGTATACGGCCCTGTGTGACTGCACAGGTTGCATGCCCTCGACGCTGGCCCTGTGTGACCAATAGAGAATGGTGGATGTGCTAGTGTGTGTCTGCCAAAGGTTAGATTATAGAGTCATTATAGATAGCTTCTGCCTAGCTCTCTTGGACTGCTTGCTGTGAGGAAGTCAGTCAGTGTGTTGTGAGGACACCCAAATAGCCCTGTGGAAAGTCTCACTTGGGGAGGAACTGAAGCCTTTTGCCAATGCCGGCACCAGCTCACCCGTCATGTGAGTGAGCCACCTGGGAAATGGATCCTTTAGCCCCTGTCAAGCCTTCAGATGGCTGCAGCCCCAGTCAAATCTTGACAACAACCTCATGAAAGACTTCAAGCCAGAACTGCCCAGCTTAGCAACTTTTGAGGTACCAACCTACAAAAACTATCAGAGATAATACATGTTTATTATTATATTAAGGTGCTAAGCTTTGGAGTGATTTATCATTCAGCAATAGATAACTAAAATAATGCTGTAATTTACACTTGCTTTAATTTAAATAAGATTTGTTATCTTTTTTGCATGCTTGATGGCTATTGGTATCTCTTTTTTTTTGACTTGCTCATTTATTTTGTTCATTATTATTGGGTCATTTATCTTACTGACATATAAAGAGCTCTTTGTAAATAAACCAAGGAAATTAGCTTTTTTTGTTGTTGTTGTTTTATGTATTGGACATGTTTTTCACAGTTTGTAATTTTTTGAATATTTTTTCATTACAGAAGTTTTAAACATTTACTGTGGTTAAATTAAGCAATCTTTCCCATTATACATGCTAGATTTTGCTGCAAACATAAAGGCTTTTCTCATTCCACAGTTGTAAACATAATCTATGTATGTTTAGTTTTAGTACTTTGAGAGTTTCATTTTTAAATACAAGTTTTGATTTCTTTAGAATTGTTTTTTGGTGGTGAGTGTGTGTGGATACAACTTCTCTACTTTCCAATGGTTAGACCATTATACAACTTTAATTGTTAAGTTATCCTTTCCCACTGATCTGAAATCCTATGTTTATCATGTCCCAGACTCCTGTCTATTCTTGGTTTTATTTCTGTACTCTTGATTCTCTTCCATTGATTTATCTATTCCTGTACCAATGTTACTTTTCTATTTCTGGGTATCTGGGACATTTCCATGTGTTTCATTTTTTTAAGAATAATTTTGGAATCATTTTCAAGTTCCAATAAATGAAACAATATTCATTGATTTTCTTATTGCACCAAATTTATGAAATTGAGCATCTCTATCTAAGATTAAAGTCTGTCTCTGTATTGGTTCACGTCTAGTTTATGTTTTTTTTTTTCCTTTTCCCTTTTTTTTTTTTTTGAGACAGAGTCTTACTCTGTCGCCCAGGCTGCAGTGCAGAGGTGTGAACTCAGCTCACTGCAACCTCCATCTTTTGGGCTCAAGCAATCCTCCCACCTCATCTTCCTGAGTAGCTGGGATTACAGATGCCCACCACCAAGCCGGGCTAATTTTTGTATTTTTAGTAGAGACGGGGTTTTGCCATGTTGGCCAGGCTGGTCTTCAACTCCTGGCCTCAAGTAATCTGCTGAATGTGGCTTCCCAAAGTGCTGGGATTACAGGCATGAGCCACCATGCCTTGACATATTTTAGGTTATTTATATCCATATGCTAGATATATGCTTAACTTATATAGGTCCTATATATTCACTTTATTCCTAGAATTTTTAAAAACTAGGTATAACTGACGTTCAATAAATTGTACATATTTAAGGTACAGAATTTGATAAGTTTTGACAAATGTGTATAACTATGAAAGCACCAACATAACAAGATGGTGGATATATCCATAATACACAAAAGTTCCTTATACTCCTGTGAAATCAACAGTCCCCCAAGCAAACACTGATCTACTCCCTGTCACTATAGATTAGTTGGTACTTTTTAGAATTTCACGTAAATGGAATCATACAATATGTACTCTTTTTTGTCTGGCTCCTTTTACTCATAATCATTTTGAGATATCATTCATGTTGTTCTGTGTATCCATCATTTACTACTTTTTTTTTCATTTTTGAGCTGTATTCCATTGTATGAATATGCCACAATTTGTTTATCCGTTCAGCTAATGAAGGACTTAGGGTGGTATCTAGTTTTTGGCTATTACAAATAAAGCTGCTATGAATATTTCTGTATAAGTCTTTGCATGGACATGTGCATTCTTTTCTATTTGGCAAATTCCCTAGAAGTGAAATGTTTGGGCCATGTGATAGATATATGCTTACCTTATTAAGAACTGCCAAGCTATATTGCACAGTGACTGTAATCATTTTATATTCCCATCAGGAATGTGTAAGATGGTTTTGGATCCTACTTTTTAGTTTTACTGTATTATTAAAACACAATAGGGTCTTATTTTGTTCTACATTTTGGAATTTATATAGGTTTTCTTTATAGCCTTATAAAAGATTGATTTTTGTAATGTGTTGGTACTTGAAAGTATTCAGTATGCTCAGAGTATAGAATTCAACCTTATTGATTATATAATTCAGAGCCTTTATAGGCTTACTTATATTTTTGTCTATTATATCTGTCATGTGCAGAGATAAATGAATTACAGTCCCTTATTGCTATTATGTTTTTGGCAATTTCTTCTTATTATTTTCTTCAGTTTTGTCTTATGAATTTTATTTATTGCAAAAAGATTCATGACTGCTATTACTTCACTGTGGATTGTTCCCTTTAACATTTTAAAGTATCTCTGTTTTGCAAACTACTTTTAAAATGTAATTTAACCTTACCCAATTTTAATAATACTATCCTTGTATTCTTTTGGGTAGGTTTTTGAAGATATTAATTATGGAAATTTTCAAACATGTACAAAAATATGAAAAGAAACCAGTATAATGGATACACATTGTATTATTCAGTTTTAGCAATTATCAACTGTTTACCAATTTTGTTTGTATTCTGAACACATCCTTTGTGCCTAGGTTACTTTGAAGCAAATTCCTGATATTATATAATTTCATCTATAAATATTTCAGTGTGTATCTCTAAAAGATAAAGACCCTTAACAATAACTGCAATACCATTATCATCCTTAAAATCGACAATAATCCCCTAATATCATTCATTATCATAGCCAGAGTTCAAATTCACCTAACTGTTTTATAAATTTTTAAATGGTCTTTTCATTCAAATTGTGAACCAGATAAAGCCCATACCTAGTAATTTTGTCACTTAAATTAAGGCTGTCCACTACATTTCTTTCTTTTGCTTGCAATGCATTTGTCAAAGAGATGAGATTACTTCTTTGTAGTTTGCCATTGCCTTGATTTTGAAGAGTTCATCCCCATGGTGTTCTTTAATATGTTCCCCAATTTCTTGCATTTAGTATTTAGATCTAGAGAAGCTTGATCAGACTCAAGTTTAACATTTTGGCGAGAATACTTTATAGGTGGTGTTATGTACTGCCATCAATCACCATAAAATGTCTACTTATCTGATTTTTGATGTTTAATAATATCTCATTTTAATTGACCCATTAATTCATAATGGTTTACAAAATGTACATTATTATATCCTATAATTACTTCTTCATTTGTAAACTGAAATACTTCTATAAGAAAAAAACCTCCTAATCAACTATTTGGTTACTCCAGGGTGCTGTTCATGTAGGAAAGTCAGAATAAATGACTGATTTTTTTTCCACTTATTTAAAATGGCAGGCTGGGCATGGTGGCTCACTCCTGTAATCCCAGCACTTTGGGAGGCCAAGGCAGGTGGATCACATGACATCAGCAGTTCAAGACCAGCCTGACCAACATGATAAAACCCTGTCTCTACTAAAAATACAAAATTGGCTGGGCGTGGTGGTGCAAGAAGTCAAGCACTAAAAAGGAAACCTTTTTTTTTTTTTTAATTTGACTGAGTCTCGCTCTGTAGCCCAGGCTGGAATGCAGTGGTGCATGCCTGTAATCCCAGCTACTTGGGAGGCTGAGGGAGGAGAATTGCTTAAACTTGGGGGGAGGAGGTTGTAGTAGGTCGAGATCGTGACATTGTACTCTAGCCTGGGCAACAAGAGTGAAACTCCATTTCAAAAAAAAAAAGGTTTCCTTTTTAGTGCTTGACTTCTTGCTTCTGGTGGTCAATGTGTGGTATATTTGAGTATATTTGAGGGTGTTGCAATTCAGTACCTTGACAGTTTTTTGTTTTGTTTTTGAGACGGAGTCTCACTGTCTCACCCAGGCAGGAGTGCAGTGGCCTGATCTTGGCTCACTGTAACCACCACCTCCTGGGTTCAAGTGATTCTCTGCCTCAGCCTCCTGAGTAACTGGGATTACAGGCGTTTGCCACCACGCCTGGCTAATTTTTGTATTTTTAGTAGGGACGGGGTTTCACTATGTCAGCCAGGCTGGTC